GGGCATGCTGACACTGCTGCGGGTGGAAATGAACCCTGACTGAACCGACGTTGGTCTGGGAACAGCTTGTCACATTCTAATTAATCTCAATAAACAGAAATTAACATATTAGTGTCTGAACAACTACTTTTTTTTACTAGTCAACTGATCACATAAAAAGTAGTAGACTAGTTGTGAGTTCAGTGTTAACCTCATATAAATGGCTCATCAAACAACATCATGCAGCATTAATGTCTTTGCTGTTCAACGTTGTATTGATAGAGAGTGTGAGAGTCAAGGAAATACAAAAATGTATCAGTTTCAGGGCGGATCACAGGAATTTTGGCTGATATGTGAGCAATCTATATGAACAGATAACAGAGGGAGGCAAGGAGAAACGGATCCAAGATCAAGGCTATAAAAAAACATTCAAATTTCAAATAAATTATAATCAACCGAGGGCAATATATGTCCAAATTAAGCAATGAAGATGATAATATTATGATAATATCATAGGAAATATGATATCATGGTCATGATGTGATGAAACGTTTAACATAATGCTTAAGCCAGCCCTGCGTCCAAATATGCATACTTCTCAAATGAGTAGAATGTCAGAATATGAAGAATTTGCATTTAAAGAGATATAAGAAAGAAAAGATCAATCACAATGCAGTATGATATAAAGGTAAGAAAGAATCCAATTGGAATTCAGTATGCAATTAAATTTTTAAATGCTGAATATTCTATCAATTTAAGACAGTAGGAGGTTTAATCATAATTTTTAATTTCTTTAAAAATGAATAAAAACGTTCAAGTACTTTAGAGTGTTTCTTCAACTTACATTTTTATTTATTGGTCATTTATAATCATGTTGCAATTGTGCTAAATTATTGTAATTGTGTGTGTATTTCTACCACCATCATTTCCATCACAGAATGCTGTTATATGATGTAAATATATAATGTAATTATATTAAACCATAATTTATCATGTAAATTATGCACATTACAAAAAAAGTGGCTCAAAAGTTTGAAGTTGGTATGATTGTTTAAATAAATTTAATGATTTTATTAAATTTTTAAAGAAGTCTCTTTATGCTCATCAAGGCTGCATTTATTTGATGAAAAATACAGTAAAATATTAATATTGTGAAATAATATTCCATCTACACTTGACCCTCTTACACTAGCACTCTCTATTCTATGTCTATTCTATTTACTTGTTTTCTTTTATTTATAATATATAAAAACTTGACCCTCTAGCACCCTCTATTCTATGTTTATATTTACTAAAAAAAAAAAAATCCTTGACCCTCTAACACGAGCACTCTATATTCTATTTCTTTTCTTTCTAATTTTTACTATTTTTATTTAATAAGAAAAAAAAACATTGCTACGTTTACTGCATTAGACTAACCGGGACTTGTCACAGCACTCATATATTGTTGCTCTTTTGTTGGTTTGGTTGCTTCTATTGTCCTCATTTGTAAGTCGCTTTGGATAAAATGTAAATGTAAATATTATTACAATTTAAAATAACTGTTTACTACTTTTATTACTTTTTATAAATACATTATAAATGTCTTAACTCTCACTTTGATCAATTTAATGCATTCCTGCTGAATAAAAGTATTAATTTCTTTCCTTAAAAAAAATCTTACTGACCTAAGACCAAGTTTATACACTTTCAGACACTGTTAATAGACAAATTAAATAAACTAGTAAGAGTGTGAAAAGTACGTTTTAAGAGATTTTTTTCCTAAAAATCCATAGGGCCTAAAGTGTCCATAGTTAAAGAAAGAAACAATGAGTTCAAATGTATTAGAGGCGCAGTAGTGAGCTCTCCTGAAACGCATCTAAACACACACACTGCTTGCTTGCAGAATGTTCTGGTAAAATGGGCTGGATGGCAGAATTCTGAGATTTTATGGATAAGTGAGGTATAAGTGTATTTGCCGTTCAGAGAGCCTCCTATCAGCGAAGGGGCCCGATAGATCTATTTTAAAACCAACTCACGACAACACGCAGCAAGGTGATGAAAACCCTGACACTCTCAAATTGCCCTGTCAATCATCGGAGTCCCTAAAAACGCTGAAATACATACAGGCACAGACAGAAACTTAAAGACAGAGACCGTTAGAGTAAAACACTGCTTGAGACCAGACACACAGAGTTAAATCTAAACCAACTATACAACACGCCAGAAAAGTGTATTCCTAATTTTGCTGCAATCATGTTCTTCTCTTCTTTGTCTATGATGTAATATCACAGAGGATTGGTTTGCTGACACTGTCCTCGTCTTTTTATGGCTTTGAGGGAAATATTTAAAGGGGTCATGAACTGCCTTTTTTATTTTGTATTGTTCTCTGAGGTCCACTTATAAAGTTATCAAGATTTTTACATAAAAAAACATCATAATTTAGAAGTAATAGGCTATTTTCTGTCCTGTTTTGACACCTCATCAGAACGCTCTGTTTGAATAGGCGTGGTGGATTGTAGACTCAGAAGTAAACACTAGGGTTGGGTACCGAAACCCGCTGCCAATATGGCACCGGTACCTATGTAACCAGTATGTACTAGAACCGAATCAGAATGCAGATTTCGGTGTGCCTCATTTCGGTGCCACTTAAATGCCTGAGCGATCGATTGAAATATTTGTCCTGGTTCTCCGAAATGGACGTAAGAAGCATGGGCGTCGCTAGGCCATTTTTAGCGGGGTTATAGCGATTAGCTCCATAAACTGTACACAAATTTGTGATCGCCTCAGAGTCAGTCCCCTTTAAATTTTATATGAAAACGTCAGCAGACTTAGTCTCCTCCCCGTCTTTCAGCGCGCTCTTCAATCCGCAGACCCGCGGCAGCGCAGCGCGAGCGGACTCAAACAGAAACAGAGGACACAAGGCATGTGTTTATCGATAGATTGTTATAATATCTGTATCTGTGCAGTTCTTTGTCATAAATGCAGTTTACAAAAGGACATTAGGGAACAATCGGTTTCCCATCTACTGAAAATGTAATATTTAATATAAAACATATTACAGTGCATGTGGCATACCATACAGTCATTCACAGAACTGATTAAAGACAGTGACAGACAGCACTCAGTCAATTCACTAATTTTAACTAAATATCAGAGTGATTGACAGAGATACATTAGAAATATTATGTGTGGTTTTGTATAAGCCACGCGCTCGTTTTCTCAGACGCTTGCAGAAAAAGGCTTACCAAAACAAAGTTACTGGGTTAATCTTTTTCACGTTTCCTTGATTGGTAGATCCACCGGGGACCTGATTATAGCACTTAAAACCTGGAAAAGTCAGATAAAGTATCGGTTCAGGCACCGTTTAGGCACCGGTACCGTTTTAAAAGTATCGATTTGGCACCGGTATCGTAAAAAACCCAATCGATACCCAACCCTAGTAAACACCCACCGCTATGATTGGCTAACAGCTGTGTGTTTGACATACATCCGTTTTGGCAGATTGGCTTCAATATAAGCTGTTTTTAGACTAACGAGAACGTTTTGGGTTCTGAAACTTACAGGATGTTTTTATAGTACAATGATCTCTTATCTGTCAAAAGATGAAGGGAATTTTGATTTCTCAGTTCATGACCCCTTTAAAGTGTGATTTGTTTTTTAATTCCATCAGGTGGCACGAATAATTATAATTGTATCGATAATAAATTACACACTTCAGCTTAAAATATGCAGGACGATAGAGAAATATTGATTAATATATGCATAACTATTGATAAAATGCTTCAATCTATTAGGAAGTACTTTTTACTTAATATTTGTCAGTGTTATGTATTTTATCTGTATTTGAGTATTAAACAACATGCCTAAGACAAACTGTACTGAAATCAGTTGTGAGTCGAGTCTAGTATAAAAGTATCAAAGTACTTAAAGCATGTTGTGTTTACAACATTGAATCTGTATTTCTTGTATAATGCACTAAATGCACAAAAAAGTATGTTTTTCAAACTTACTGCAGACAAAAACATATAAAGTCAATGTATTTGAATGTTTTCACTCTTGGTGGCTCCTTATGAGTTTTTTTATAAAGAGAAACCGCTTTTTAGGCCTAAAACACAGCGTAAGTGCTTTACTCCAAATATACTTAAACTCTAAAAAAGTGTTTATCATTCAGTCCATAACAACTGAGAGGTTAAAAACAGAAGCAAATAAGAAACAGCGAGGCAAACTGCAGACTGAGGGTCACATAAGAGCACAAAAGCAGCTTATGATAACAAGAGGTCACAAGGTTAAATAAACATGCATGCTCTTCGACCTAAAGACAGGAAAACTATGAATAAGGGATGAAGAGGTGTAGAAAGAGGAGATATGGGAAGTATAGACAGCAATGAGGTATTAATGCCCTTTATAAAATGAAAATGCTTGCCAAAAAAATGTATATGTTGAAAACTGCATGGCTGTAGTGCCAGTGCTTTACAGGGGATAAATATATATATATATAAACAAAAAAGTAAGAATATCATGATAAACTATTCAAACAGTTGGTTGTTAGATGACTAAGCAACTAATCTTCTGATTTCGTTCACAAGTCTCTATGTATATTTTGTATTTCAGCATTTTCATCCAAAAAATAAGGTACCTATAAAAAATTTTCATTTTACTTCATTATCTTAAAAAGCCATTACCACATGATTTCATGTACTGTATAAACCATTTCTGTGGATTTTCTTAGTAAAATAACTATTTCATACTATATACTCTAACTCTGCAATCATAATGCCCATATCTAGTTAAGAATAATTTTTTAATATGTGTTTTTTGCTTTGTTTACAAACAAAAGCAACTGAACAATCTGAAAATCAAACCAAACATGGTCCATTTAGCATTTACGGACTAAAATCATGAAAACTGGAAAATAAATTCATCTGTGAGAATGTGTAGAAAGATCACATCATCAGCGTGTGTACAGATAGAATAGTGTGTGTGTGTGTGTGTGTGTGTGTGTGTGTGTGTGTGTGTGTTTGTGAGAGTCACTCACCCACTGGTGTGTTCTCATAGATAAGCAGGTACGACTGGAAGAAGTAATTCTGGAAACGAGGAGGCTGATTAGAGGCTGGAGGAGAGAGAGAGACAGATACATGTGTCTTAATAAGAGAAAACACACAGTTACAGCTGTTACATTAGACAGCAAACAGATGACATCGATGAACACATCAAGCGAACACTCTCAATGTGGAGCCACTCCAGTCAATATGAGGGTTGTGTGAGGGTTTGGTGTATATGAGATATGACAATAACTCAGCCACTTCTACAGTTAAATAACATGTTCTGCAAAGGTTCCTTGTACTACTGTATCTCCAGTAAAAAAATTCACCTGTGTATAGGGCTCTTCAGCAACCTGGTTCTTTGCAGTACTAACTAAAAAAAAAAGCAATGTTATTAACTTAAATGCATTTTGCAATAGCTCAGTTTTTCAAGTAACAAGTTATTTTTAAGCAATAAATATGATTACTGTCACTTTTGATCAAGTTAATGCATTGTTTTATTCAGAAATGATGCAATAACTTGATCAAAAGTGATAGTAAGGATATTTATAATGCTACAAAAGGTTTCCTTTTTCAAATAAATGCTGTTCTTTTGAACTTTCTGTTCAACAAAAAATATTTATGAAAGTTTTCACAAAAATATTAAGCAGTACAACTGTATTCAGCATTGATAGTAATAATAAATGTTCCTTGAGCACCAAATCAGCATATTAGAATAATTTCTAAAGTATCATGTGGCACTGAAGACTCGAGTAATGATGCTGAAAATTCAGCTTTGCATGACAGGAATAAATTAAATTGTAAATTATAATAAAAAAAATAATGGAAAACAGTTCTTTTAAAATGCAATGTTTCACAATATTATTGTTTGCTGAATTTTTGATCAAATAAATACAGACTTGGTGAGCATAAGATGCATCCTTCAAAACATTAAAGAAAGAAAATCTTACCAACTCCAAACTTTTAATATATATATATATATGTGTGTGTGTGTGTGTGTGTGTGTGTTTTGTCTATTTTTGTCTAAGAAATATTTAAATATATTAGTGCTGTCAAAAATAAATATATAAATAGATATTACATATATTTCTTAAATGCATCCATGTATATGGGTGTATTTATACGTATATACATATAAATATACACAGTACACACACATATATTATGTAAACACAAACTTTTATTTTGGTTGTGATTAATCACGATTAATCGATTTGACAGCACTAAAATATATGTAAGCATATTTTAAATATATAAATGTACTTTTAAATATATAAATCAAACATCAAATTTTTTTTTAACATGCAAAACTGTTTTTACAGCGTAACATTTCTTACTTGAATTCTCCTACATGAGCACTCTATATTTCACTACTACACACTATGCTCTGACGTGTAAACTTCCCCATCTACGCTTGTTGTGTGCGAGACATGTTTCCCCAGTGTATATACGCGTGTGTGTGTTCTCTTTCCAGGGGTAGCAGGAGACAAGCTGATTTGTCAGAAAGATCAGGAGAGCTTTGATCGTGTGCATGGGTAGTGGGCCACAGAGACAACACACACTCCAGAAAGGGCTCGTGTGTGTGTGTGTTTGAAGTGCTGGTGTCTGATAGGGTGAATCACTTTTTGACTCCGCTTTGAATGCAGCAAGAACAAACCAGAGAGAGAGAGAGAAAGAGTGGGAGATGCTGAACAAGAAACGAGAGCCATCAACTGTGCATCCGCCAATATGCACTAACTAGAATCAATCAAGAGTAACACGTCAGCACGTGTTAATTACTGAACTATTACAGAATAGCAGCAGAGATTAAAACAAGTTTTAGGTGTGCAACAAACTGGATCACATATTTAATGAGAGTTCCTACCAAAAGCGAAGCCTGTCACATCTGTCCCGGCTTCAGCACAGTCATGATAAAATTAATAATCATATCATTATTGTTGCTTAATGAAATTTTCTTTGAGCCCAATGCATTTAAATTAAAATGTAATGAATACTAAAAATTAATGTGATTTAATTGAATTTTCACACTTAAGACTAAAGCCTGTTTCACACGTCCAGTGGTGGCAAAATGTAAGCGACGTGTATTTATTTCAGCGCCTATGGCTGTGTGCAAAACATATAAAATACTGCCTTTGTTGGCAGTATACAGAGGCAGAAATGCATAAAAGCACATCTGAATCAGCAATGCTTTTCTTGCTGAGCCAAGTTTGGTTGTACTTCACATAATGATTAAAGAAAATGGTCAAAATGCACCAGTTTAAACCAATTTATCAACACATTCGTTACAATAAAGTTTAGCTTACACTTTGGGGTTTGTAAAAGCTCTCAATGGCCTGTTCTTGACCATTTTAGAATTCATAGCCATTATCAAAGAAAAACTCTGTGTTTTAATGAAAGCTCTACAAATGCCTGTGGCTGCAGTTACGCTGCTTACACTGCTGCAGACCCAGGATGTGTGAAACAGGCTTGATAGCTGATATTTTCCCATTGTGACACTGACTGAGAGTCTTTTGAGTGAACAGGTCAGACAGAACCTTACGTCATATCAGATCTCTTCACAGACACCATCATTTTTCATGAAGACAGCTCACCTCTTACACTACCTTTAAACCGAGAGTTCACCAAAAACTACAAAATCTAAAAAATGAAAGTCCCTTACCTTCTTTTTTCCAGTTTATTCTATTTTTTGAGGAACACAAAAGGAATTATTATTAAGTTCCATCTCTAAACTTAAATGTCAGTAGAGCATAAACAGATTATACAAATTAATACGAATTAGCCACCAGTGTTGAGGGTACATGCATTATACATAATACATTATACATACATAACAGTTTTCACAAAAATATTAAGCAGTACAACCGTATTCAGCATTGATAGTAATAATAAATGTTTCTTGAGCACCAAATCAGCATATTAGAATAATTTCATAATAATGAGCATAAACAGATTATACAAATTAATATGAATTAGCCACCAGTGTTGAGGGTACATGCATTACAAGTAACACAAGTTATGTAATCAGATTACTTTTTTCAAGTAACTAGTAAAGTTACATTACTTTTTAATTTACTTTTTCAAATAAGTAATGCCAGTTACTTAGTTGACTTTTACATTTGCCACAAACAGAAATGTTTTATATTAAAAACAAGAAAGCCCAGCCCAGATGAGAAAAAGTAACACAAAAGTAACATAATGCATTACTTTACATAAAAAGTAACTAAGTAATAGGGATGCACAATATTATCGGACAAATATCGGGATCGGCCGATAATGGCTTTAAATGTAAATATCGGCATCGGCCCGATATGAAAAATTATGCCGATATGTCTTGCCGATAAGAGGAATACATTAACTCACATGTGCTCAGGGTGTGCTAGCGATTTGATCACGTCAGCATTGTGGCTCATTCTTGAAGCAAAGTTTTGCCTGAATGGTGATTGGATTCACTGTTTTGGATCGCTGCATTTAAACTGAGAATTCAGGTACAGAATGATGCGTTCGGTGTGTGATGGAGTAATAGCATGTGCAGTGGCAGCAGCAGCAGCCTCCCCTGGGTCCTAATGCCCGTCCGGTAAGGAGTTTTAATTCCTTAGGGGGCGCTGTTGGCCTACTTCTAATAAAATGAAAGCAGAATACACAAATATTTAGACTGTTTCCGATTAAATAAAGCAGTAATACAGCTTACCCTTAAATTAAATAATTTTATATATACTGATTTATTCATTATGTGTAATCATGTGTAATATTGTAATATCATGTGTTATATTTTTTAAACAAATTATGAGCTCTAAATGATTTTCAGAATTTTTACAACTTATTTGCTTTAGACCATTTACAAATGTTAAATCATAAAATAAAATGTTAAGGTTACCACTGCATCTGACCAATACCAAGTGCCTGACGAAGACCTGATGGTCATAACGTTGTTCCTGCACCTGAGCCTTCGGGTTTTTTGGGATATGCACGCTTTTTTGTATTTTTTACTTAAAATAACTGAAGGAAATATCTGTTTGCTAAATGAAGCCAGCTAAAATTATTAATATTTTTATTCATATTATTATTATTATTGTTATTGTTATTATTATTATTATTATTATTTTGTTTCTGTACCCAATATTTGCCTTAAGAATGTGTTAGAAGAGGTGAATAATGCAAATGATGACATATATTTCAGTCTGTCCATCACACAAAGCTATCATATGGCTTCAGAAGACTATGAATATAGCGCAAAAGTTTCTTTTTATGATACTTTTATGATGTGTTTTTGTCCTTGTGGAAGCTTGACAGTCACGGTCACTATGAAAAAGTTTGGATAATGGCAGAATTTCCGTTTTTGTGAACTATTCCTTTAAACTTTCTCTTTTGAGCATGAAGTGTTTAACATTCAGTCTCTAGTTGTTCTGGGGTTCAGGGCTCAAACTCCCTCCCTAATTTACCTCCATTTAATTTAACCCTCAAAACCCTGAACCAATCACAGAGAGCTAATAACCATGAGAGAACAGCTCCCACAGGACCTATGAGAGACAGAGCGAGCGAGGCAGATTCATGAAGAACGATGGAGTGTGTAAATGATTGAGAGAGGTTCAGCAAAAGAAAAGGACACAGACAGGAAGAGGAAGGAGAGGGCAGTGAATTATAAACTCCTGTGGGCTGATGTTAAGTGGCAGCGACACTGTGTTGGTAAATGTGCTGCCGCAGATTGCAGGTGTCCAACACACACACACACACACACAGTGAGGAATGATAGACAGGAGCGAGAAAGCAGTGATGGAGTGAGATGTCTGAGAAAAGACAGGACTCGCGGGCTGATAGAAGGACAACAGGAAGGTAATGAGAGCACGCTGAAAAATGAGAGAAACAGATGAGAGTGACACAGAGGAGAGACCGCTGTCAGCACAATCAGAGTTTTAATCTCAAAGTCTGAGAGACACATTTGACCCGTGAGTGGGTGGGGTGTGATGTCACAGGGCTCATGAATATTAATGAGCTTGTGCAGTTGCTGTTAGATCATCAATATTCATGATGCAAGCCCTCACCTCAGGCTCATATAAAACATGTTCTGTTCTTCTAGTAGACGTCTCGCACTGATTTGACATCGAAAAATAATATCAAACCAGCTTCTTCAAATATTTTTACATTCACTTTGTAGCGAATCAGCTCATGGGGAAATATGAATAATTAATCATAACTAGTTATAATTAATTATAAATATTTAGATCCGCTGTAGATATTTAGCTGACCTCTCAGGGTCAACTGTCTGTCAATTCTAAGAACGTTAATTTCCTGGTTAAGGGAAATAACTTTCTTACTGTACAATTCTACAAAGAGCTTGTAGCATAAATCTGCATGGGTGTCAGGGTTGCCATGGTAACCAGGGTCCTGGGCCTTGTGTCGTTGCAGACATCCTGGCATCCAGTTTATTGGATGAGGGGACTGTGACGATTTGTTAATCTAATGAATAATTGATTTGTTAAATCAAATGACAAATGGTGTGTCTGATTGGTCCAGACGCTACAACTTTTAATAAGGGTCAATTTAACACATTAATTTTGTATAATTACTTATGAAAGATTTATTAAAATTAACACATTAATGCTTAACTAGCAATTTAGCTCGGACATGGATGTGTTCTCGCATTCAAAGACAGCTAAAGTAAAATGCGCACGCCGCTTTTACAAGCTATTTAAAAGCAAAGGAAAGCGAAGGTATTGCCGGTGTTGTCACACGTCGATTAACTGGTGGGAAAATTTCCTCACCGTCACAACCCTACTAGACGGAGTGCAACAGTATGGAACAGAACACAGGGTTCTCGAGATCCAGTTTTCTTGACGCTGTGTCTTAAAAATACAATGCTTATGTTGTGAGACGCTGAAAAATAACAGTTGTTAATTTGACGCCATGTGCACACAGACAAATGCTAGTACACTTCCTCTGTGAACAGAAAATGAATTGCAATGATAAGTAAACTTCAATAAAACATGATATATTGCCATCTAAAACCACTTTTTGTAATTTAATATAGAAAAATATTGTGAAATATTATTACAATTTAATATAACAGTTTTCTATTTGAATATATTTTATATATAAATATTGTGTAAATAATTCATTGAAAATAATTAATTTTGGAGACTGAGTATTTAGTAGAGCTCATCTATTATGTCAAAACTTAAATGTCAGCCATTTAACAGCAAGACATAAAATGTATAAAATCTTTTAAACAATTAAAATTCCTATTAAAGCATTGATTGGCTGTTTCTCCACATAAATCAATTTAGGGTCTGTCATTTTACGAGCTTGTGAATTTGATTGTCAAATCAGCTTGACAATTTATTAGATACATTTATTCATACACATGCTAGAATACTCACCCTCAAACAGTTTGCTTTTGTATGATGCATGGAAATCTATCTCCACATGGAGAAACAAAGAGAGAAACTGTGTGTGAGAGAGTGTGACATTACCTTCAGAAAGTGTGTGTAGCAGCATTAAGGAGAGGAGCAACTTGACCAAAGTCATCTTGCCTCCAGAACCTTCACACCACGACATCTCCAACCTGCAACACACAAACACACACACAATCAACCACTGCGTTCAGAGTGACATCATGAAACACAACCACAACTGTTTGGTGCTGCTAACATAGCAGAAATTACACACTGCACATTTGTGTACTGGTATTGTCTGGTCAAGCCTTTGTGATTGAAACTTATCATAAAAATTCTATGACATTAGCAAAGCACAGCTGGTAATCCACATCTGCGATGTGAAATCCATCTCTCTAAATAAATAATGTATGGTCCATGTTGAGAGTTGTGATGTCTCCAGGTGAACCTCATTACAAGTTCATTGCTCCTGATGTCATCATGTGATATGCAAATACAATCATTGCTTGGTTCCTGATAAACTGTAACACACTGCATGAATCTCAGTGAGAAAAATCTCAAAGGTTTCACATTGGTAGCTCCAGAAATGACCTTGAAAAGCATAAGTCAAACATTATGTGTCCAAATAAAAATCCAAAGGCTTTCTGAAAATCAGTGGTTGTTCAGTTTGCATCAGTTTTAGGGGGTTAGACAGTGATCTTGTTCATAATCTCAGACTGGTTCCCAGTGTGTGAATATGAAATCTAAATTCTCATACATGCAGCTACAACAAACACCTTCAGCGTGACAGGTGTCTGAAGCAAATGTGTAAACACGACAATAACATTGGCCGGCGACAGCCTATGACATCACTACCGGCGCAAGCTTGAGTTATCCTCTCGTTGAGTTGTTGAGTAACTCCACTCTGTTGTCTACAAGCATGCTGTTCCCAGATTGAGCGTCTGAGTTCCCCTCTCTTTTCTGAGGGTCGAGACCTCTGCTCACTGGAGCTCCACAAGGCAACCATACCAGGTGGATTAAGGCCTCCTGTTTGGCCTCCCTGATGACCACCTCTGTGTTTGAGCCTGGCATTGCTCCCCTTATTACAGGGTCACTTTGAAAAAATTAAAAAATGAATTAATTCAAAGTATATTTACATGAAAAAACAAAGGTTCACTATTTTCAAATATATAAACAATATATGGATTCCATTTCTTACTATATATTACATTTATCAATATACTGAGATTTTATACATATATTTCAAAAATATAAATGGCTGTTAAATGCTCAATTTTACCAGCCATTTTTATTTTTCCAATATATATATATCCCATCATGTGACTGCCCTTATGGTTGAGTTGGCGGTACTCCCCTAAATTGGAGGGTTTCGTATGAGTATGCCACTCCCGGAGCCCCATCATGCACCCCTCTGAGCATGTGAGTTCTCCTCTCACTCTGAGAGTTGAGTGCTCTGCTCTTTTAGGCCTTTGAAGCAGTCATATCAGGTTGTTAGCCTGTCCATTCTGCCCTCCTGATGGATTTTGAGCAACAGTGCCCCTCACCGCTTTCCTTTGTCAGCCCTTAGCAGGTAAGTTAATTTGGGTATGTAGCTCGGGCCTTTGGCTGAAGGGGATAAGTGTCACTGACAGCCGCTGATGCGTCCGAGGGGCGACTCTGATGGTTTCACTGTTGAGTTGGTGCTTAGAGCTCTATATCAAATATAATATAATATAATGTAATATAAAAAATAAAAATAAATATATACACTATAGCTGGTGGGCTAAAAGTTCATTTCGTACTCTGGTGAACACCCTTAAGAGTAACTCTTTTGTTGGCAGCAGAGCGAGAGCAAAATAACTTAATTTGAAGACAAAAGGCATCATTTGCCAGCTTGTAGTGTTTCATACCCTGTTGAACATGAGAGCTGCTGTTTCAAAATGATTTTATTACTTTTTTTCTTTTAGCGTTGATATACAAGCAGTAGCTGTATGAGATGTTTAAGTATATGTACTGCATTTGCAATCTGTCAACATAATCCCAACATGATTTTTGGACCAAACTGTGCAGCCCTACATTCAAATATGCACATCAACACACCATATGCTGCATTTCCTCTGAGAAGAAGACTTTCTCCCAAATATTTTGCAAGCTAAAAGCACTTTCAGACTTATGTGAAGTCACTGAATAGATGGTATTGCTTGAGGAAGGGGTATTATATTGACAGTATTAATGATTAATAGGCATATAATTTATGCATTAAAATGAAGAATAGTTTTACACTTGCTCAAGTGAGGAGGAGGAGGGTTCATTCAACAAGGAATTCCCACAGAGTGAAGTACTCACACACTCGAGTTAATCGAGAGACGTGTGCTGCTAATCATCTAACCAGCATCTCGCTCGCCCTCTCTTCCTCCGAGTAAAAATAAATGAATGAAATAAATGTCTGAGTGAGAATAGTGAAAATGATATTTACAAGGGAGCTCATGTGATGAGTGACTTAATTACAGCAACTGTAAGGTCGAAATTAATGATGTATAATCATGCCGCGTACAACCTCAGTTTAATTAGGCTAATTACCAAGCTGGGATTGGCTGATCTTATTTGTTTTGCTGGTATTTACTGTTAATGCTGCAGCGTTAAAGGTGTCCTCGGCGAAGGAGATAAGATACAATCTAATTCTCTCTCCATTCTAGGAAACGATCAAATGGAAGTTTAGCCCAGCGTCTTAGGATTTTATACTATAATGAGGAAAAACCCAGCACTGCTTCTCTTGGTGGAGTGATTTGCACATTTTTACTTACTATAATCATGTATTTTATATGTCTTTAAATAAAATTCCATAATATGCTGATTAATCACTATTAATCACAAACTATTATCAATGATTGCCAGAAAAGCACTCAAACAAAGATCATTTGAAGACATTATTGTGGTATCCCTGAGCGTCACAATTTAAGGTTTATGTCAAGAAAAGAAGAAAAAAAAGTTCATTCAAGACTACCAGATCAAATTTGGCCTCGAAAAACACCATTATGACATTGTATTCACAGTAGTTGCTTGATGATTAATGCTTAAGTGTGAAGGTATTTCTCCTCAGAAAATATGGCATGCACTTCCCTCAGCATGGCAGTGTGGGTATTCCTTTCCCCATAGCGAACGCTAGAGGATGCAGTTCAAGTTCCCTCGAAAGGGAACATCTCAGGTTATACATGTAACCATGGTTCCCTGAAAAGGGAACGAGACACTGCGTCCTCTTTTCTTGCCATGCCTCAGGACACATGCTTCATTATTGCAGATGGAAGAAGCAGATGATGTATTCTCCTGGTGCCCTTTTATACTATGGTCTCTCGGGTTGTGACGTCATAGGCTGTCGCTGGCCAATGTTATTGTGGTGTTTACACATGTGCTTCAGACATCGGTTACGCTGAAGGCGTTCCACAGAGTGACCGCTAGAGGACACAGTATCTCGTTCCCTTCTCAGGGAACCATGGTTACATGTGTAACCTGAGACGTTTTCTTTGCATCAATGAAGTTAGCTAAAATTTTATATATCATACATCTATATATACACATATACATATATATAATTATCTATCTGTCTGTCTGTCTGTCTGTCTATCTATATGTCTGTCTCTCTGTCTATCTATCTATCTATCTGTCCGTTTGTCTGTCTGTCCGTCCGTCTGTCTATCTATATGTCTGTCTCTCTGTCTGTCTATCTATCTATCTATCTATCTATCTATCTGTCTATCTGTCTGTCTGTCTGTCTGTCCATTAAACTTCAAGGCTTTCAAACAACTTTCAACAACTTTTGGCTTTAAGCCAAGTTTCTCTTTGCAAACTTTGCTTTTAGCCAAAATTAATATACTAATTTATTTTATTTCATTTCATTTTAATTAGGGGTACAATATATTCAGTATATTCAGTATCGGTATCGCTCCGATACTGGCATTTTCTGCCGGATCGGGGTATCGGTCAGAGGAGACCGATCCAAATCCGATATTGTGCGTATACTATTCTGTGTTATTATTAAGCCCCACAAAAGGCACAAAATCATTATAAAGCACCATAAAGTTTCCTAGCATTATATTCCAAGTGTTCTGAGACCATTCCATAGTTTAATGTGAGGTACAGATGAATATTTAAGTCGTTAAAATTCAAGTTCACTTAAACTCTTCTCTCCGCTGCGGCTGTCTGTCATCCTCCATTCAGTATTCAAACTGCGCGTCGCATTCTGTTACGACAGTCAAGACAATGAAAATCTATCCAAGATGATTCACTGTTCCTATTATTATACTTGATATGTCGATAAAGATCAGTGGTTTTGCATAAAAGGACTTTATCTAGCTGGAGTTTAGTGCTGTTTCTAAAGCATGTTACTTTCTACCGGGTGTCTGTTAGATCACAACACTGGAGTAGAGAGCACTATGAATTGTTTTTCATGCGCACAGTAACTGAAATTTAAAACTGTTAAAAAAAGGCTCAATAAACTATCGCACAGATATAATACACTATGCATCAAAATCCTCTTCCCTTTGTGCTTTGAACTTTTCTATGCGGAGCGCTGCGCACTGTGACTCCGTGTTGCTTCAAGCTAGGGCTGTGCAAAAAATCAAATGCAATTTTCATGCGCTGACAAGCAACACAAAATCGCGTTCAAAATCGGCAATCAATCGCCTGCAATTTTGAACGCGATTTTGTGTAGCTTGTCAGTGAACTACGGCTCTGTGTAGTAAATGCCACTCCATCTGAAAGCATGTGCTGGCTTTACTGACGAGATGCGCATTCGATTTTTTGCACAGCCTTACTTCAAGCGCATCATTCTGCGCACGGGATGCGCATAAGCGCTTTGTGCCGCTCCGTATAGGAGCCTTTCATCATGTTATAATACTTTTGTGCAATGAAAGATTATTAATAGCCTTTCTTGTTGTCTTATCTATCATATGTTACTGCCTCATTACTGTGCTATACATTTAAAAGAAATGTTTTTTAATTTTATAGTATATTAATTAATATATAAATATATTTGTTACGTATCCGGTCCATGAACTTCCGTCTGCTAGCCATCAGAGGTCACCCTTTCCATTTTCATTGACTCTCGCACTACACACTGTTGCATATCACCCCGGACTACATATCCCATCATTCATTGCACTGATTGCACACAGCACTGATTGATAA